CCTCCCTTAATATGGTGCAGATGAGGAGAGAGGGAGATGTTTGTAGTCCAAATCAGAAGCACAGCCTACGGCAGTGATGGCGAACCTATGGCACGCATGCCAGAGCTGGCACGCAGAGCCATCTCAGTGGGCACGCCAGGAAGAAGAGGAAGATGAGCTCACACGGACCACGCACACTGACCGGCCATCCAGATCTCGTCCACACTGGTCCCCCATCAAAATCTACATCTCCCACATGTCTCTGGGGCCAGGGTGGGTGTGGACGAGAGGAAACGGCTCCTATGCGGATCTGGCACCAGGGGTGATGTAGCTGGGGATGGGCGTGGAAGAGAGGAAGAGGCTCCCACACTGCTTCGGGGCCAGGGGCGATGTGTTCAGCGTGGATGGGAATGAGCTGCTGGGTTGGAAGCCACACCGACACTGCCGAGGTGAGAGTAACTGCTTGCAGTGTCATCCATCAGTGCCCAGAAGTGTCACCCATCAGTGCCCAGCAGTGTCGCCTGTCAGTGCTGCCCAGCAGTGCCACCTATCAGTGCCCAGCAGTGTCGCCCATCAGTGCTGCCCATCAGTGCCACCCATCAATGATGCCCAGCAGTGCCGCCGATCAGTGCCGTCTGTCAGTGCCTCCAGTTGGTGCTATCAGTCAGTGCCGCTTATCAGTGCCCATCATTGCTGCATATCAGTGCATCATCAGTGACTCCTCATCAATGCCCACCAGTGCCGCCTCATCAGTGCTACCTATCTGTGCCGCCTCATCAATGCCCATCAGTGCTGCCTATTAGTGCAGCCTCACCAACGCACATCAAAGAAGAAATATTACCTGTTTACAAAATTTTATAATAGAAGCAAAGAAAACCTTTTATGTTTTTAATTTTTTGCTCTTTTTTCATTTATAGTGCAAAAAATAAAACACCCAGTGGTGATTAAATACCACCAAAAAAAGCTCTATTTGTGGGAAAAAATGAGTGTTGCATGACCGCACAATTGTCATTGTCAAGTGCAACAGCACTGAAAGCTGAAAATTGGTCTGGGCAGGAAGGGGGTAAAAGTGATCGGTAGGCAAATGGTTAATTGCAGTGTTGGCACTTTGAAATAAAAAAGTTGGTTTTGTGTTGCAGTTTTGGGCACTCGGGCTCAAAAAGTTTGCCATCACTGGCCTAGGGTGACAATACTGCTCCTCCATACATACATACAGTACAGTGAGTGAGCACTGTCACCCTAGCACAGGATGTGTATTTGCTAGCAGTATCTTCAGGTTAAATAAAGAAAAAAAATTAAAATGAATGCATTACCACATCTAAGAAATAGTAAGCTGTGATATATTATATTTTGTGTTTAGATACAATTATAAAGTAATCACAGTGGAACATGACCATGGTGTGAGACTATCTCAGCTGTAAGTCTCATGTGATATCTATTTCCACAGGCTACATTGTTTTCGGATGTTTTTTTCCTTTTAATTGAGCATTGAACTCCGAACTAACTGTTTACATCTTTTATTTTAATAAAATATTAATTTTAACAATACAGTCAGGTAAAGTAATTTTTATACATCTCTAAAAAATACAGTCATTATATTTGTTTAAGCGTAACAATATATGTATTCCACTCTCCCCTAATGGCTCCCTTATTCTAGACCCCATTTTGAGTTAAATCCAATTTAAATAATATCTATTATCATTTTTAGTTTACAGTTCTGTCCGCCATGTTTTAAATAGAATTCCGGGCTTTACTTAACTAATCTTAAAAATGCTCCCTTCCCTCTCCTAACACCTATTCTGACTATGCACTGACCTGTGTAAGAAAAATGTACAACCCTAATTTCAAAACAGTTGAGATGCTGTGTAAATTCGACAATAAATAGAATGCATTTATCTGCAGATCTCATACACTCATATTTTATTCATAATAGAAAATAGAAAATATACTGTATATCAAATGTGTAAACTAACAAAATGTCAAACATGCTCACACAACCTCCTTTCATATGGAGGGGTAATGTTGCCACCATAAACCTACAGTGCTTACACAGGTAAGCATGAATTTACCAAATATATCAGACTTACTGTACATGATCCAAAAACTGGGGTTCCAGAAAATATCTTCATTGGATATTCTGTCATTCAATATGGGCATTGTCAATGTTCAAAACTATCAATTTGCAGCAGCACAGAGATCATTTTTAATAAATGTATATATTATCTACCTAATTGAATCCAACATTTTAATTTGTATCCGTAGTTTAATTGTCTAATCCATTCTGACAGCAAAAGTCTGTCTTATTCAATGTATTTTTAGAATATTGCACAGTGCTATGATAAGGTGGATTTTTTAACTAGTGGAAAATGTGTGTTCAAGCTGGAGTAAAGAAGAAGTGACAGAGATGACAAAACTGCACGGTATCAGCTAGATCCCCCTAAAGCTACGACTATGGAACAGCATTCTGCTTTAATGAAGTCTGGCAGATTAATCAACACCTTTTAGTTGAGCTACAGGACGTTGAGTGTTGCAGAACAAGCACAAAATGAAAAATGTGCAATGTTTTAAATTTGAGAGTTCAGGGGAAGTCTTTTCAAATAGAAGAAATACTTTTTGCACTTAAACTTTTTAAATGACTTAAATCACACCCTATAGAATATACAGAGAGGGATGCTACATTTATTTTTGGAATGCTCTAGACACACTTGAATGATACGTTTTATATCTACATGTTTTGTGCAGAGTCAAGGTTATTACTGCAATACTTAAAAAAATGTATGAATAGGATCATGCTAAATGCTTAAAAAATAAAAATTACAGTTTTCTTTTAAATGCAGTTTCCCAAAACTTTCAGGTCCACAATTAACTGAGATACAGTATTCACTATGGTGCCTGTGGATATCTCATAGCCTCCTCCCAGTATGTCTCCTATCCTCCAGTGCACTTGGAAGGCTTGTTGGGGAAGGGAGGCTCGGTATTTAAAGGGTGATTGTGCTAAAAGTACAGTTATCCTTTAAGCTGTAACATTTCAGTTAGAATTTGAATGTCTGTTATAAGACTACAATAAAAGGTTCCTACCTGAGTCGCTTCATCTCAAACACAAGATTCCACAATACATTGAATTGTTGACCCAGGAAATATCCAATTGACTTCTAGGGGACCATAAAGGAATTTATTTTTCACCTACTGGAGTAAATTGGACCATGCTCTATATAGGGTTTTTTCCTCTGGATCAACTGCCGGCATAAAGTTCTGTATATGGAGGTTTTCTATTTATTTATTTCTGTTTTTTTTTTTTTCCTAGTTGTTGAATTAAATAGATTTTTGTATTTCTTCAACCTAACTATGTAGCTATGTAACATAAATAAAATAAGGTTTGGGAGCTTTGGGACCTTCATATATTTCAAAATTGTCACTATTTGTTATGACCTATCTCAGTTGGGGGACACCTGTTTCCATGCCCTGTTTTTTTTTTTTTCCTTTTCTCATCAGATATTTTTTTTTATCCCTTCCTTTATTGTTATTGTAGCCAGGTGCTTGCTATATCATTATGCCATTCAGGGACTTTTACACATGAGACTACGGTTAATCCTTTTTCCCCCTAGTGCCCAGTACTGGGACTACTACATCACTTCTTGTTAGCAGAGTGGATCCAGTTCCTCTGACAGCGGAGGATCTTGCCACTTCTAGTTCTATAGCCAAAACATACAGTGAGTGCTGATTGAACTACAACTACCAGAGAACTGGTGAACCAGAAGGTTGCTGGGAGATCAGATATATTCTATAGCAAGGAACTGGCTTGTTCTCCTGGGGCAGTTCAATACAGTGGTGACACCGATCTCGACTCTGGGATTGCATCAGCTTTTCTGCATCAGGACTGTCCAGCCTTCACACATCTTGGCTTGCCACGCTGACAGCATGCCAGGCAGTAATACTGCACATCTCTGAGAACAGCCAAGAGCCTGTGCAAGATCCCTGTTTCTAGGAGGTCATGCTATCCATGGCATTGGTGAGCCATTTGATACCCATCCTCTTTCTGTCATCACTCTAGAGACTCTGCTTGCAGACACCTTTACACCTCAGTTACTAAGAGAACTTTGCTTTGAGCATTTACCACAGCCTATCTGTTATCTTCATTGAATTACCATTACTCACTACTGTATATGGTCCCCACCATTGCTAGCAGAAGACAATGACTACTATTACATCAGGAACTTTAAACATCTTAGGACTCAAGTTTCTAGTTAAAGGAACCTCTTTTCATCTAAGCCAATGTTATTCAAATTACGGTGTCTATACCCATTTGTACCAGAGTATATTTACATAATTTTTTGGCATCCGCTATTGTGAGGCTGGTGGCCCAGAGGGAGCTGATAAGTCAAAAACCCTTTTCTTCCCCCTCCTGCTGCTACTGTTGCAGTTACATAGTCACAACGTATCATTTGTGACCGTATAATCTGTTAACAGTTGCTATTTCCATTTTATCAGTGTTTTGCTTTTATACGATAACTGGGTAAGTAACACCTAAACCTTATTTTGTCGTCGACTCTTTGAGCTTAATATTATTACTAAAGAATTGTGTCTCTTACATTATTATTTCATACTGTTGAAATATGTCTGAACCCAGTGTCAGAGGTGTTGAGAATCTTGCAAGGTCACGGCAACCGCTGGGGACAAGCAGTATCAAGTGGCCCCTGGGGGGTAGTGCTACATTGTTATTGCTGGAATAACCAAAATACTGAGCGATTCTACTAGTATCACTAAAACTTGGCAACACAAAGAACACTTTAGACACTGAAATGAAACTGTAGGTGGATCCTATTAATAGGATATCCTTTGATTATAAAACTGTGTGTTTAGAAATGCCTTTTTCTGACATCTTCTATATTTTATTATTATGACCAGATCTTATTAAAGGAATAATTTTAATATGATTTTGGTCTTCAACATTTTGATTGAAGCAAAAAATTAAAGTGATTCTAAAGGTTCATTTTTTTTCTTTGGAAAGTAACAAACATGTTATACTTACCTGCTGTGTGCAGTGGTTTTGCACAGAGCAGCCTGGATCCTCCTCTTCTCATGTCCCCCACAGGCTCTCCTGGCTCCTCGCTCCAGTTGGGTGTCCCCACAGCAAGCAACTTGCTATGGGGGCACCCACTGCTCTGTGTGTTCATTCACACACACGGAGCCACAGCTTGTTCCTGCCCCCTCTGTTTCCTCATTGCCTCCCGCTTGCTATCTAAGCCAATGAGGAGGCAGAGACCCTGGACAGCCAAACCTGTTGTTCACATTGCTAGATCACAATGGGGCTCAGGTAAGTTCTGAGGAAGCTGGGGGCACTGCTGCACACGGGAGGTTTTTTTACTTTCATGCATAGACAAAAATACTTTAGCTCTGTTACAAAATGGTGAACATTCAATAAAGAAAGCAAGTGTTTTTGAATGGCATAGGCAGTTTAACCTCCCTGGTGGTATGATTATTTCAGATTTTTGGTGCTGAAAGCGGTACCATTTTTTTGCATGGAAGTATGTATTTTTTTTTATTGTAGGCCTGTAATTTTTAGGAATAACTCACTGAAATCTGTCCGACCAAGAGTCTAGTAAACGTCCCGGGTATGATAAAATTTGAAATACAAAATCATAAATTATAATTTAATAAATAATCATAAAAATAATAATATAATAATAATAAATTTAATTCAATAATACTAATTAGGCACAGAGTTATTTTTAAGTTATCTGACAAGCTGATGCTGCAAAACTTAACTTGGGCATTTAGGCAGCACCAACCTTGAGATAAAAGGGCTAAAAACAAAGCAGCAATGTCAGTTCCCATATTTTAACCCTGGTAGACATGCTTTAACCTCCCTAGCGGTCTGATTATGTCCATATTTCTGTGCTCAAAGCGGTTTTGCATGGAAATATGTATATTTTTTATTGTAGGACTGTAATGTAATTTTAGGAATAACTCACTGAAATCTGTCCAAACAAGAGTCTAGTAAACATCCCGGGTATGTTAAAATTTCAAACACGAAATAATAAATTATAACTTAATAAATAATCATAAAAAATAATAATATAATAATAAATTTATTTAAATAATATAATTAAACCAAAAACACTGAAATTCGAACTATAGCGCCAAGTTCGTACATCACTGAGTAAAGTCGCAAAATCGTTTTCAGTGTCTGATGACGAATTTCCCCACGAACCATTATCACTCAATTCTGCAAGTGGTTCTGATTTACTATTGCTGTTCTCTAGCTGGTCTAAAAGCGCTTTTGACCTAAAGGGACGCTTTTTGGACGCCATGGACGTTTCTCTGTTTCCAGGCAGAAAGAACAGTAAAAATGTAGGCAGGGCACAGGACAAAGCACTAGGGACAAAATGTATGTGAAATGCTTTGATACAGTAATGTTATACTATGTGATTTTAGTGATTTTAGTGAATGTCAAATTTTGTCATTTTTTAATTTCTCGCCGTTCTGTCCCCCGTACGTAACGACGCTCACAGGGGACGGAACCCAGAAGACGGATGCCGGCATCCGCCGGATTACATTGCCGGGGACACTGCAGGAGGGACATTGCGGGAGCGCAGGACAAGGTAAGTGATCGAGGGATCGTGGAGCAGCGCCGCATAGTATTCCCGAGTGTAGCTCGGGGTTACCGCTTGTGGTACTGAAACTTTACCCCGAGCTACACTCGGGAATACCGCCAGGGAGGTTAAAGAGGGGTGAGAAGATGTCCATGATGATGCACGGAGTGAGCAGCCAAAAATGCAAAGAACGGATGCAAATGAGGACAGAGTGCAATTGGGAATCTGTTTGGAAGAAAAAAACGTAACTCTGGCCTAACAAGTGGATTGTCCACTCTGACAATGCTCCTGCACATGATGCATTAAATGTTCATTAGTTCCTGACCCAAATAGCATTTGAAAACTTCACTACATGATCTGCAGGTGTGAAAGTGACAAAATTTTTGCATTGAAAGCAGAAGTGATGTAACACTTTTCTGCTTCCGCTGTGTGATGAGACACCTAGCTAACAGATGGGAAGCCTCACTTTCATCATTCACTACATGCGCTGCTAGAAATATGGAGTCATGTCAGAGCTTACTGAGCTTCAAAAAGGGGAAAATTGTTGGTGCCTGCTTAGCTGGTGCCTCTGTGACTGAAGTGTCCAATTTATTTGCGGTGTCGCGAGGTACAGTATCAAAGGTTATGATGGTTTATACAGTTACCAGGAATCCATCGTCTGATAAATATAAATACGGTCAGCATGGTCAACTGACCGAAAGAGACTAAAGGACATTGTGCGGGACTCTGACCCAGAACAAGAAAACAACTGTTGCAAAAGTGACTGCAGAAGTCAATCTCAGTCTTCACAGGACTCAGATTCTCCCTTCCCCACAACTCTGGCAGCAGTTGTTGTGAGGGTCTGTGGGCAGGGGACTTATCGGAATCTAGAAGCCCCCCTTTTTTTTTTTTAAATTAAGGACTAAAAAGTGTCTCTGTGTTTTTACTCACTTTTAACACTTTTATGGCGAATGAATAATACTCATTCACACAGGGGGGGAGGGTGAGACCTGGGGACCACTTGCAGATCCCCACTACCACTGCTCAGGGGTGTGGGGAAGAGGCTCTTTTCCCCTTCAACAAGGCCTGGCCTGCCAGACTTCTTACACGTATAAGGGACTGGTATGGATTGGAGGCACGCTGTTTTTTTTAAAAATGTTGGTTCCCCCTCAAAATCCATACCAGACCTAGGAATCTGGTATGAATTTGAGGGGGACCCAGGGGTGGTCATGGGGCCCCCGGGCAATAGGGTATCATGGGGCCTCTGTGTCCTCGCCCACACTCAAACTACACCCAAAAAAAAAAAAAGCCTATGAAAGGTACCAGGGGCATCTCATGGGGCCCCCTACTGACCCCGGGCCCTCGGGCAGTGCCCTACTACACTAATGGTCAGTACGCCCCTGGGGGGACCCTATTCCATTTTTTTTGCATGGGGTTCCCCTTAAAATCCATACCAGGTATGGATTGGGGGAAGACCCCCAAGCTGTTTTTTTTGCAAATTTTAATTGCCGGCAATTCTTTTGTTTTGTTCACAACCCCACTGACAGCTGATGCGCCATTGGTTGGTAAGGATGCAGCAGTGGTCGGCTTGCCAGCAATCAGCTAAACTGCTAAACGCTGGCAAAATGTCAACACACAAAAAGGAAAAATGCCAGGGAAAAAAATGTTCATATTGAGGTTTTTTTGATACAGAGTTTTTCCAGCATTTTATTCAGCTCATGCAAGTGATTTTGATTTCTAGGAGCAGATTTGATTACAGGATATCCCTCAGGATTGAAATATGAGAGCTGCTCCTGCTATCCTGTTTTTAAAAGTGCAGGTCCCAGGGTTGTCATTCTTATCATTCCTTTACTACATACTGTAGATATGACAATGCCCTAAGCAAGAGTGTCCTTATTCTAAATTTAGGGCTGCTGGGCTGTAGTCAGCCTAAGCCTGAATTGATAGTTCGGCTTTCTGTAGGTTCTCCTATTAGTACAGGTTATTGTTTGCTTCTACCTGCTGTTGGGAAGTGTCCCTGACAATAGTGTAAGAAGATCCAATAGCCTGGCTTATGAATATTTAAATTATCTCTGGTCAACTGCTAGAAGGTTTATTGCCAGTGGTGCAAGTTAAGGAAGAGTATAAATATCCAGGGGAACTTTCTGGAAGCTTTCTTGCCTCCCAGGCTTTGCCCATTATCTGACCTCACAGGCCTGCTGCCTAGGGAGGACACATCTGCTTGAAGACATGTGGCATGATGAAGTCACAAGGTGCTGGGTCCTTTTCTGCCAAGGATGGCAGGCACAGCTCCGGTTTTTTACATCAGGAGGATATTTAAGGGAGGGCATGTCCATGACATGGCCTCTGAACATTTGGGGAGGACATGGAAATGGAAACATGGGAGCACTGGTAAAGTTTTAGTTGCATTTGGGTGTTTTCATATAAGTAGTATAACAATATGCGATGTCCACATGGGAATTTTGTGTAGACTTTTGTAAATTAGCTATGCTTGAGGTGATTGTAGACGTATTAGTGCATTTGCGACAGAAACAATTGAGTACTGTCTGTGATACTTTTTTTAATTGCACTAACATACAATTTTGAGGATAAGCTTTTGGGGTATGTCCCCTTCTTCAAAGTCCAAGCAGTACTATTACAAATCACAAAGTTTAAGCAGAATGTTAGAAGGGATGAAAAAAAAAAAAGGCTACAGATCAGATACAGCAAAAGGAGGGGGGGGGGGGGGGATACTACACTCACACAGAGGGGGTCAAGCTAGCTAATAGTCATAAAACTGTTGGATAATGAGTGAGGAATCCCATGTCCAAGTTAAGGCCGTTATCTCTTGTGTCAAATAGAATTATCATTCTTAATTCAAAAGTTTTTCTTTCCTGAATGGATTTGAATTTTCCTTTCAGAACTAAAACATTGAGGTCTCCCATTGTGTGGCCTGGTTGTGTGAAATGGTGTCCTACAGGTGTGCAGAGGTCATCTTCTTTATGTTCCTTGATGGTATGTCTGTGCAAATTCATCCTTGGTTGCAAACTATTTGACACAAGAGATAACGGCCTTAACTTGGACATGGGATTCCTCACTCATTATCCAACAGTTTTATGACTATTAGCTAGCTTGACCCCCTCTGTGTGAGTGTAGTACCCCCCCTCCCCCCCTCTTTTTGCTGTATCTTATCTGTAGCCTTTTTTTTTTTTCATCCCTTCTAACATTCTGCTTAAACTTTGTGATTTGTAATAGTACTGCTTGGACTTTGAAGAAGGGGACATACCCCGAAAGCTTGTCCTCAAAATTGTATGTTAGTGCAAATAAAAAAAGTATCACGGACAGTACTCAATTGTTTCTGTTGTAAATTAGCTATAAAAGTTTGCCCTACATACCCTTGTTTGTGCTTACTTTTTTGGGCATGTAGGACAGACCTGAGTGGATGGGGCTAGCAATGCTGGTAGCATATAAACTCTATTATTCCAGCTTGGTTAATATAATACCAGATCGCTGGTGATTTTTCATTTTAAGGGTAAGTGGATTGAGTTATCCATGTTGGAAGAATGTTTGCCTGTTTTCTTTTTCCGCGGCAAAGATTCATGAAACTTATGGTACCTTTGGGATTATCTTGAATGAACCTGGACCATCATTAGAATGGGATAACAGTTGAACCACTGGTTATTTCAGCCTAAATACTACAATGCTATAACATTAAGCATCCCATTCTCCTGTCACATTTAAGGGTAAGTTTTTAAAAAAGACACCCTCAAAAATGGACATAAATGGTTAATATGGAATTTATCAACATGCTATATTTATACTCTCATACCTTTAGAAAACAGTGGGGCTCCTTGATGGCCCCCTGCAGTCAACCCCCCTCCCCCATCCTTCTGTTCACAGTGTGAATTCCAGCTAACATAGTGAGACAGATATGCAACCTTTTTATCGATTCTGTAAGTATCATGTAAGATTCATGTGGAAAAATGTCAATATGTATATGGAAACACAATATACTGTATGAAATCCTATTGTTGTTATATGTATTTTAAATTGGCTATTTACCTCATTTTCCTGAAGAAGTTGATTGTCAAGTTACCAAAACAGGTAGAGCTGCTGCTGTTCAGGTCTCTTACCTTTGTCATTGTACTCGGTATCAAATACTATATGATGCTGCATTTATATGTAAACTGATTGTGAAAATGTACTGTATACATCTACATTATGGTGTACATTATCCTGTTATATTATAAATAGATGCTGTTTTGGTGTATAACCTTGAGTATTCTCCAAGAAAATATTTTAATACAATATTTTTACTTGTTCTTGAAACAATGATGTAGTTTACCTACTTGCCTACCAGCCAGTGTTCTTAACTGACCAAACAGCTCACTCCTGGGAACAGAGCGTTCTAAAATGCTGCACCCACTCTTTGAGCCCAGTTGATCCAAGAGCAGGGTACACAGCCAATGAAATTGGCCCTGTACCATGTAAACCCCAGGCTCAATCACAGAGAATGCATATGTAAATGAAAGCTACATTTTGCAGCCAGCACTCTGTTTCTTCCCACACTGATCATCCGTGAGAGGAAACAGAGTATTTCCACTGTGATCGAAAACAGGTTTCGTTTTACTTAGTACAGTGTCACCAGAGCAGCCAGCCAGTGTCCCTGATCACTATGGTGACACTGTACTGAGGTGGCTAGTGACCAGGGGCACTGGCTGGCTGCTCTGGTGACAATGTTACATAGTTACATAGTTAGTCTGGTTGAAAAAAGACAAAAGTCCATCCAGTTCAACCATTAAAAAAAAAAAAAGTTATAATCCCATACCCACAGTTGATCCAGAGGAAGGCAAAATAACCCAGCAAAGCATGATCCAATTTGCTCCTCCCGGGAAAAAATTCCTTCCTGATTCCTCGAGATTCAATCAGATATTCTCTGGATCAACTTTACCTATAAATTTTAGTATCCTGTTATATTCTGTGTATCCGAGAAATAATCCAGGCCTTTTTTAATGTATGCCTGTGCAGCCAGGCAGTCCATGATCACTAACCACATCAGTGCAGTGCCACCATATCAATGCAGCCAGCCACAGTGTCCCTGATTTTTTACACACTAGTACAGTGTTACCATACCAGTGCAGCCAATCACAGTGTCCTCGATCATTACCAGACCAGTACAGTGTTACCACATCAGTGCAGCCAGCCACAGTATCCCTGGTCACTGCCACACCAGTTCCACTGTCACCAGACCAGTGGAAGCCAGCAACAGTGTTCCTGACTGCCACCACAATATGCAGTATGGCTGCAATAAAGTCTCACATATGTGGTATCCACATACTCGGAAGGAATAGCAGAAAGTGTTTTGGGATGTAATTATATGTATGCTCTGCTCTGTGTAAGAAATATCTTATTGACAACTGTGAGGAAAACATAAATTTTCCTTTCCCAAAAACTTCAAAAGATTCACTGTGTCTTTATTTAAATGCATTGGAGAGTCTACTTTGCAATATGTGGTAATTTTGTGGATGTTTCTCCTATATTGGTATTTCAGAGCCATAGGAACTGTGATAGGTAGTCAGGAAATCAGATGCATTATTTATGCTTCTTGAAAGCATAATGGTGCTCTTTGGATTTTGGGTCCCTGTACACTAGGAAGAGAAAAAGTCTCACACATGTGTTATCCCCACACTCAGGAGGTGTAGAAAAACATGTTTTGGAGTGTAATTGCAAACATGCAAATAACTTGTTAAAATTATAACTTTGCGAAATAAAATCCAAGCCCTGGGGACAATGGGAGAACAGACCAGACGGAGAGAGATCTTAGTGACTGTTGTTGATGTTAACCCCTGCCCAGGGGCGGACTGACCATTCAGTCACTCGGGTACTGTCTGAGGGCCCAGGGTCAGTAGGGGGCCCCATAAAATTCCCCTGGTACCTTTTTTATAGGCTTTTTTGAGTGTGGGCAAGGACACAGAGGCCCCATGATCCCCTATTGCCCGTGGGCCCCATGAGTTGTCAGTCCGCCCCTGCACCCTACCACATTCAGTTAAGGTTTGGCTGATTTGGGATAATGCTAATGGTGTACCAGTGCTCTCCCCTTAATGTCCTAATACTTGGAGGACTATGTTAAGAAGCTGCTGCTAAGGGGATAGTGTCTTTTCATTCTTGTTTAGTGTTCTGGAGTATCCCACAGCTCCTTATTCCCATCCAAGTTGATCTGTCATAAAGTTTTAAAAAGGCATCCCTTGGACTGTTTCTTGAGCTATTGAAGTGAAAGCTGCTGTTTGCCTGGCTGTGCTGCACTAGGGGGAAGAGAACCTGGAACGCAAATTAGTGGTCCCTGTGGGGGTAGCAGTAAACCCTCACACAATCTTAATAATATACACTTATTTGTTTTTTTTTTGTTTTTTTTTTTTAAACCAAAGAAAGTAGCAGAGTACAGTTTGGCCTAAATTTATGAAGAAAGATTATTTGCAAAGTTTTATAGCAGAAATTAAGGGGGAGATCGGTAGTCATTAAATACCACAAAAATCTCTGTCTAAAAAAATTATTGAAAATTAATTTGGGTACAGTGTTGCATAACTGAGTACTTGTTAATCAAAGTATTACAGTGCGGAAAGTTATAGAATGCCCTAGACAGGAAGGATGTTTAACATGCTGGTCTTCAAGTGGTTACTCAACTGTTACATAATTTGAAGTGCAAATAATTGGGGTACCTTTAAAATCCCTATATAACTGGTATTTTAAAAAAAATGTATTTGACAAAGGAAGGCCTGAGTTTGGAGGCTGAAAGCATGCACTTCCTGACCTGAGTAGTTTACTGGGAGGACTGAAACTGGAACCTGAGTACCACGGGAGTAACAGGAGTGTCCAGAGAAGCTGGGTATAACCTTGGACCCTGCAGGAAGTCTGGTGGTTCATCCAGGGGATTTGTGTGCTGTTACTGCTTTACAGTGCAAAAATACAGAATGCCAGTCTGTCCTTTTTCTATATCAACTGTAGGCTTTGGAATCTAGTTAAATTCATTCTGTAAACCCTTTCGTAAGTGACTAGCACCCAATTCTTCACACCCTACAACAAGTTAAGAATCAGTCTACTGGAAAAATGGGGGCCTTTAAAATCCTTTAGGGGGTAAGGGAGTTCTACATGATAATTTCAAGTTGTGTTCTGTACCATTTTACTGAAGTTTTGATTCTCAGCTTGACTCTCTGTTGATATAGAGCTTTATATAGAATACACGATGCAACCATATGCTACTCTGATTGTGTCTATGTTATGAAGAGTTCATGTTTGTGCAGCTTTTCATATTCTGCAGTACATGATGTTTTTCTTTGCCATCCTGAACCTGTTTTCCATCATTGCTTCTAACCTTCCACCCGTTTAGTAAACTGCAAATTACAGTTAATCTCTGTCTGATCATTTTGCAGAATACCTATTCTGGTAAATATTTAAAGCTGAGTTTCAGCCTTACCTTCAGTATTGCACAGTTGTACAGTTTCGCCTCCTGCACTGACATTCTTTACTCAGATTTTACTACACACTGTAATATTCTCACAGTACATAAAAAGCTGCAAGCAAGTCAGACAGAGCCAACCCCTTTTTCTGGCTGACACCACGGAAGGCAAAATATAAGCAAATTAAAAGCTTGCTTTTCAATTGTCAAATACAGTTGTGCTATAAAAATAATAAGTTAACTAATTAATTTAATTTAATGAATTAAAAAAAATATAGTAACAACATCTTGCTTACATTGTCGTGCATTAGGCAGCCTATAATAATAAGAGAACATTTTTTTTTATTAAAACAGTGTAACAAATAAAACCCTAAAATATGCAAAACAAATAATTAGGCACAGAGTTATTTTTAAGTTAACTGACAAGCTGATGCTGCAAAACTTAACTTGGGCATTTAGGCAGCACCAACCTTGAGATAAAAGGGCTAAAAACAAAGCAGCAATGTCAGTTCCCATATTTTAACCCTGGTAGACATGCTTTAACCTCCCTAGTGGTCTGATTATGTCCATATTGCTGTGCTCAAAGCGGTAAATTTTTTTGCATGGAAATATGTATATTTTTTATTGTAGGCCTGTAATTTTTAGGAATAACTCACTAAAATCTGTCCAAACAAGAGTCTAGTAAACATCCTGGGTATGTTAAAATTTGAAACACAAAATCATAAATTATAATTTAATAAATAATCATAAAAATATAATAATAATAAATGTATTTCAAAAATATAATCATAAAAATATAATAATAATACATTTTTTCAATAATATAATCAAACCAAAAACACTGAAATTTGAAATATAGCGCCAAGTTTGCACATCACTGAGCAAAGTCACAAAATTGTTTTCAGTGTCTGATGACGAATTTCCCCACAAATAATTATCACTCAATTCTGCAAGTGGTTCTGATTTACTATCGCTTTTCTCTAGCCGGTCTAAAACCGATTTTGACCTAAAGGGATACTTTTTGGACGCCATGGACGTTTCTCAGTTTCCAGGCAGAAAGAACAGTAAAAATGCAGGCAGGGCACAGGACAAAGCACTCGGGACAACATGTATGCCAAATGGTTTGATACAGTAATGTTTAACTATGTGATTTTAGTGATTTTAGTGAATGTCACTTTTTGTCATTTTTAATATCCCACTGTTCTGTCCCTCGTACGCCCCGACGCTCAAAGGGGATGGAACCCAGAAGACAGATGCCGGCATCCGCCGGATTACATTGCCGGGGACAATGCAGGAGGGACATCTCGGGAGTGCAGGACAAGGTAAGTGATCGAGGGATCGTGGAGCAGCGCCGCATAGTATTCCCGAGTGTAGCTCGGGGTTACCGCTTCTGGTACTGAAACTTTACCCCGAGCTACACTCGGGAATACCGCCAATGAGGTTAAAGAGGGGTGAGAAGATGTCCATGATGATGCATGGAGTGAGCAGCCACAAAAGCAAAGAACGGATGCAAATGAGGACAGAGTGCAATTGGGAATCTGTTTGAAAGAAAAAAAATGTAACTCTGGCCTAACAAGTGGGTTGTCCACTCTGACAATGCTCCTGCACATGGTGCATTAAATGTTCATTAGTTCCTGACCCAAATAGCATTTGAAAACTTCACTACATGATCTGCAGGTGTGAAAGTGACAAAATTTTTGCGTTGAAAGCGGAAGTGATTTACTATCGCTGTTCTCTAGTTGGTCTAAAACTGATTTTGACCTAAAGGGATGCTTTTTGGACGCCATGGACACTTCTCAGGTTCCAGGCAGAAAGAACAGTAAAAATGCAGGCAGGGCACAGGACAAAGCACTCGGACAAAATGTATGTGAAATGGTTTGATACAGTAATGTTTTACTATGCGATTTTAGTGTATTGAGTGAATGTCACAATATGTCATTTTCAAATTTCCCGCCGTTCTGTCCCCCATACGTCCTGACGTCGCAGGGAACGGAACCCAGAAGACGGATGCCGGCATCCGCTGGAGTACATTACAGGGGACACTGCAGGAGGGACATCGCGGGAGCACAGGACAAGGTAAGTGACGAGGGATCCTGGAGCAGCGCTGCATGGTGAGCCCGAGTGTAGCTCGGGGTTACCTCTTTTGGTACTGAAACATTTCCCCGAGCTACACTCAGGAATACCGCCAGGGGAGTTAAAGTGGTACTAAACCCAGAACCCTGCATCCATTATATTTGGTCTCCCACAGTACACAGAACATGGAAGTGCAATTATTTTAGTAAATATAAACTGCTAAATACCTTTTCTCATCAGCAGTTAGAGCAGTCTTGTGACTTCTATCAGTGTCCATCAGAGCACATGTTAAAGCTTGTAGGAGAAGTTTTAATTTTGCTCTAGGGGGATGCAGAACCTCTGTCCTCTGTCTGAACAGTGCTAATTGGCCCTGTGCTGATCACTTGCACTCTCCCAAGAAAAAAAAAAAACCTCTCTAGCAATACACACCAAACTGAGCATGTGCAGAGTGACTCAACATGCTATGTCTTATCAGGTGGGGACACTGCAAGAAGGGGAGGATCAGAGAAGATGGGAATAAACAGACTTTTTACACAATTCAGAGGACTAACCCCTTAGGTTCCACAGTGAGTATAGCAGGCATGCTTTACAGCATATACAGACTGATTTTACTGTTGTGGGTTTTGTAACACTTTAAATTTCCCTCATCACAATACACAGGGATTTATTTTAGATCTATACAGCACAGATTTTAGATTTATATTAATATGAAGACTTCTATATTCACACAGGGAACAACAAAAATGGAAAATATTCAAGGAAGGTATCCCTAAAATAGCTGTGACATGAATTCTCACTTTAATGCGTCTGCATTAGTTCAAGTGTATATAAAGAAGACACTTTATTTTTTAAAGCAGAATCTTTGCATAAAATACAAACTGCATCTGCACCATAAACTGAAAACACTATTTAAATAATATTAATAGTCAATGTAAACTCATCCATCCATCTATCTATCCATGTCTCTATGCTTTATTTTACAAGAAATCACCTTAAAATCATCCCCCTTGCATTTCTGACTATGACCATCTTGAGTAAGGGCAGATGATTCATGCAGCATTTACTTCCTGGAATCCATCTGCCCTTAGCAAGCAGGAGGGTGTGCTTAGCTGGGAATGCACCTCCTCCCCTCCTGAAGACTCCTGGGATGTATGACATCATTTGGCCTAGGCCAGGAAGTAACTAAAGAAATGTAAAAAAAAAAATACAGTTTAAAAAAAGTAAATATAATTTACCTTCCTATCTGTTTACTAAAACTAGCAGCATAGGGATTAAAAATAGTCCATTTTGATTGAGAGAGTTTTGTTCCACTTTAAATTTTGGATTTTTGGTTAAAACCATTATAGATTGTTTATTGCTGTTCCCACTGGGATTTAATCTATTTCTACTGTTGTCCTGGTGGCCATTGTCACTGGGATTAAAAGTAAAAGACAATCGAACATTTTGAGTTGTCACTGGAGCAGAAATAGAGGCAAATGTTTCCAAAGGGGAAGCCTGTTCTGCTCAGGGGTGGACTGACCATTTGGAAACTCGGGCACTGTCCGAGGGCCCGGGGTCAGTAGGGGGCCCCCCATGAGATGCCCCTGGTACTTTTTTCATAGGCTTTTTTGAGTTTGGGCAAGGACACAGGGGCCCAATGATCCCCTATTGCCCAGGGGCCCCATGAGTTGTCAGTCTGCCCCTGGTTCTGCTGACTACTGTCTCAGAAGATTAAAAACCCGAGAGGGGGATTTAACCCTTCTTTACTATATCCAAAATAAAAGCACAAGCTTTAGAGTTAAAAATACTTGAACTGCCTCTATAATATATTTTACTGGGAATGGTTTAAATCACCCAAAGACCCAGAGGTGACGCAGCATATACAGGTACAGCATTGGCTTTATTAAATTTCCTATGACTAAAGTCTTCTAAAATGAAAGTATGTAAACTCTACCAATAAAAAAGATAAAAACTCAGCGAGCGCGCTCAACATAAACAAGCAGCCATGCACAATAAAGGAAACCATAAACCTTCAAAACCACATATAAAGTGAAATAAGTGCAGCGCTAAAATGGGAATAGTCCTGGTAGATAAAGGATATATAGTACATGTACACGATTAGAGTCCGTAATAAATATATATATATATACAGTGGGGATCGAAAGTTTGGGCACCCCAGCTAAAAATTTGTATAATGTGCATAAAGAAGCCAAGGAAAGATGGAAAAATCTCCAAAAGGCATCAAATTACAGATTAGACATTCTTATAATATGTCAACAAAAGTTAGATTTTATTTCCATCATTTACACTTTCAAAATAACAGAAAACAAAAAAATGGCGTCTGCAAAAGTTTGGGCACCCTGCAGAGTTAATATCTTTTGTACTGCCCCCTTTGGCAAGTATCACAGCTTGTAAACACTTTTTGTAGCCAGCCAAGAGTCTTTCAATTCTTGTTTGAGGTATCTTTGCCCATTCTTCCTTACAAAAGTCTTCCAGTTCTTTGATATTTCTGGGCTGTCTGTCACGCACTGCTCTTTTAAGGTCTATCCATAGATTTTCAATTATGTTGAGGTCAGGAGATTGTGAAGGCCATGGCAAAACCTTCAGTTTACGCCTCTTGATGTAATCCCCCGTGGATTTCGAGGTGTGTTTAGGATCATTATCCATTTGTAGAAGCCATCCACTCTTTAACTTCAGCTTTTTCACAGATGGCATCAAGTTACCATCCAAAATTTGCTGAAATTTTATTGAATCCATTTTTCCTTCTACTCGTGAGATGTTCCCTGTGCCACTGGCTGCAACACAACCCCAAAGCATGATTGATCCAACCCCATGCTTAACAGTTGGACAGAGGTTCTTTTCATTAAATTCTGTGCCCCTTCTTCTCCAAACGTACCTTTGCTCATTCCGGCCAAAAAGTTCAATGTTAACCTCATCGGTCCACAGAACTTGTTTCCAAAATGCATCAGGCTTGTCTATATGTTCATTTGCAAAGTTCAAACGATGATTTTTGTGGTGAGGACGTAGAAGAGGTTTTCTTCTGATGACTCTTCCATGAAGACCATATTTGTACAAGTATCTCTTTATAGTGGAATAGTGTACCACAACTCCAGTGTCTGCCAGATCTTTCTGGAGGGATTGTGCAGTCAAACGTGGGTTTTGAATTGTTTTTCTCACAATCCTGCGAGCTGTTCTGTCTGATATTTTTCTTGGTCTTCCAGATCTTGCTTTAACTTCCACTGTTCCTGATGACTGCCATTTCTTAATTACATTCTGAACAGAGGATATTGACATCTGAAAACGCTTTGCTATCTTCTTATAGCCTTCTCCAGCTTTGTGAGCGTCAACTATTTTCAGTTTCAGTTTTCTAGACAACTGCTTAGAAGAACCCATGGTGCTGATTGTTGGGGCATGGTAAGATGAGTCTGGGCATTTAAAACCTTTGAGATTGACATCACCTGGTCTTCCCAGGCGATGATTGAGAACAATCCATGACACTGGCAGGTCTCAGCTTGGCAAAGGGGGCAGTGCATGCTATAAATTCTGCAGGGTGCCCAAACTTTTGCAGACGCCATTTTTTTGTTTTCTGTTATTTTGAAAGTGTAAATGATGGAAATAAAATCTAACTTTTGTTGACATATTATAAGAATGTCTAATCTGTAATTTGATGCATTTTGGAGTTTTTTTCCATCTTTCCTTGGCTTCTTTATGCACATTAATACAAATTTTTAGCTGGGGTGCCCAAACTTTCGATCCCCACTGTATATATATATATATATAGAGCTCAGAGTGACTTCAAATATCCCCAATTCATCACTTCCTCAAAGACGATGAGAGGCAGAGTATGGAAAAAATGCCCACTCACCGGACGCGCAAAGGTATTGCGCAGTGTATAAATAAATGGAGGTCTGCCAGTGGGTCCCTGTCAGGATGGAAGTGGAATCGGGCCGGAATGGATGGATATCATCATGATATGAATATTCATCCTGATGATATCCATCCATTCCAGGCCGATTCCATTTCCATCCTGAGAGGGACCCACTGGCAGACCTCCATTTATTTATACACTGCGCAATACCTTTGCGCATCCAGTGAGTGCGCATTTTATCCATACTCTGCCTCTCACCGTTTTTGAGGAAATGATGAATTGGGGATATTTGAAGTCACTCTGAGCTCTTTATATATACAGTTGTAAGAAAAAATTATGTGAACCCCTTGGGATTACGTGGAGTTTTGCATGAATTGGGCATAAAATGTGCTCTGAACGTCATCTAAGTCACAACAATAGAAGAACACAGTCTGCTGAACATAATACTACACAAACATTAGATGTTGCCATGGTTTAATTGCACATAACATGTAAACAATCACAGTGCAGGGAGGAAAAAGTAT